ATGACACAGTAACCATAGGGTTTAGGATAACACAGTAATGATAGGTTTTAGAATGACGGAGTAATGATAGGGTATGGAATGACACAGTAATGATAGGGTATAGGATAACACATTAATGATAGGTTATAGAATGACACAGTATTGATAGGGTATAGAATGACACAGTAATGATAGCTTATAGAATGAAACAGTAATGATATGGTATAAAATGACTCAGTAATGATAGGGTTTTGGATAACACAGTAATGATAGCTTATAGAATGACACAGTAATGATAAGGTATAGAATGACACAGTTATGATATAGTTTAGGATAACACAGTAATGATAGCTTATAGAATGACACAGTAATGATATGGTATGGAATGACACAGTAATGATAGGGTTTAGGATAACACAGTAATGATAGGTTTTAGAATGACACAGTAATGATAGGGTAAGGAATGACACAGTAATGATAGGGTTTAGGATAACACATTAATGATAGGTTATAGAATGACACAGTAATGATAGAGTATAGAAAGACACAGTAATGATAGCTTATAGAATGAAACAGTAATGATATTGTATGAAATGACACAGTAATGATAGTGTATAGGATAACACATTAATGATAGGCTATAGAATGACACAGTAATGATAGTGTACTGGATAACACAGTAATGATACGTTATGGAATGACACAGTAAGGATAGGGTATAGAATGACACAGTTATGATATAGTTTAGGATAACACAGTTATGATAGCTTATAGAATGACACAGTAATGATCTGGTATGGAATGACACAGTAATGATTGGGTTTAGGATAACACAGTAATGATAGGTTTTAGAATGATATAGTAATGATAGGGTAAGGAATGACACAGTAATGATAGGGTTTCGGATAACACATTAATGATAGGTTATAGAATGACACAGTAATGATGGGTATAGAATGAAACAGTAATGATAGGGTATGGAATGACACAGTTATGATAGGGTATAGGATAACACAGTAATGATAGGTTATAGATTGACAGAGTAATGATAGTGTACAGGATAAGACAGTAATGATAGGGTATGGAATGACACAGTAAGGATAGGGTATAGAATGACAGAGTAATGATAGGGTATAGATTGACTCAGTAATGATGGGTTATAGAATGACACAGTTATGAAAGGGTATAAATTGACACAGTAATGATAGGTTATAGAAAGAAACAGTAATGATAGGGTATAGAATGACACAGTAATGATAGGTTATAGAATGACACAGTAATGATAGGGTATAGAATAACAAAGTAATGATAGCTTACAGAATGACACAGTAATGATAGGGTATGTAATGACAAAGTAATGATAGAGTATAGAATGACACAGTAGTGATAGGTTATAGAATGACACATTAATGATAGGATATAGAATGACACAGTAACCATAGGGTGTAAAATGACACAGTAACTATAGGGTATAGGATAACACAGTAATGATAGTGTATAGGATAACACAGTAATGATAGGGTATGGAATGGCACAGTAATGATAGGTTATAGAATGACACAGTTATGATAGGGTATAGATTGACACAGTAATTATAGGGCACAGAAAGACACAGTAATGATAGGGTATAGAATAACACAGTAATGACAGGTTTTATAATGACACAGTAATCATAAGGTATAGAATAACACAGTAATAATAACTTATAAAATGACACAGTATTGATAGGGTATGGAATGACATAGTAATGATAGGTTATAGGATAAGACATTAATGATAGGTTATAGAATGACACAGTATGGATAGGGTATAGAATGACACAGAAATGATAGCTTATAGAATGAAACAGTAATGATATGATATGAAATGACTCAGTAATGAGGGGGTTTAGGATAACACTGTAATGATAGCTGATAGAATGACACAGTAATGATAGGGTATAGAATAACACAGTAATGATAGCTTACAGAATGACACAGTAATGATAGGGTATAGAATAACGCAGTAAAGATAGATTATAGAATGACACAGTAATGATATGGTATGGAATGACACAGTAATGATAGGGTTTAGGATAACACAGTAATGATAGGTTTTAGAATGACACAGTATTGATAGGGTATGGAATGACACAGTAATGATAGGGTATAGGATTACACATTAATGATAGCTTATAGAATGACACAGTATTGATAGGGTATAGAATGACACAGTAATGATAGCTGATAGAATGACACAGTAATGATAGGGTATAGAATAACACAGTAATGATAGCTTATAGAATGACACAGTTATGATAGGGTATAGAATGACACAGTAATGATATAGTTTGGAGAACACAGTAATGATAGGTTATAGAATGACACAGTAATGATAGGGTATGGAATGACACAGTAATGATAGGGTATGGAACAACACCGTAATGACAGGTTATGGAATCACAGTAATGATAGGGTATAGAATAACACAGTAATGATATCTTATAGAATGACACAGTAATGATATGGTATGGAATGACACAGTAATGATAGGGTTTAGGATAACACAGTAATGATAGGTTTTAGAATGACACAGTAATGATAGGGTAAGGAATGACACCGTAATGATAGGGTTTAGGATAACACATCAATGATAGGTTATAGAATGACACAGTATTGATAGGGTATAGAATGACACAGTAATTATAGCTTATAGAATGAAACAGTAATGATATCGTATGAAATGACACAGTAATGATATGGTATAGAATAACACATTAATGATAGGTTATAGAATGACACAGTATTGATAGGGTTTAGAATGACACAGTAATGATAGGGTATGGAATGACACAGTAATGATAGGATATAGGATAACACAGTAATGGTAAGTAATATAATGACACAGTAATGATATGGTATAGAATGACACAGTAATAATAGGGTATAGGATAACAGAGTAATGATAGGTTATAGAATGACACAGTAATGATAGTGTACTGGATAACACAGTAATGATAGGGTATGGAATGACACAGGAAGGATAGGGTATAGAATGACACAGTAATGATACGGTATAGATTGACTCAGTAATGATAGGTTATAGAATGACACAGTTATGATAGGGTATAAATTGACACAGTAATGATAGGTTATAGAAAGAAACGGTAATGATAGGGTACAGAATGACACAGTAATGATAGGGTATAGAATAACACAGTAATGATAGCTTACAGAATGACACAGTAATGAAATGGTATGGAATGACACAGTAGTGATAGGGTATAGAATGACACAGTAATGATAGGTTATAGAATGACACAGTAATGATAGGGTATAGGATAACACAGTAATGATAGGATATAGAATGACACAGTAATGATAGGGTATAAAATGACACAGTAATCATAGGGTATAGTTAACACAGTAATGATAGTGTATAGGATAAAACAGTAACGATAGGGTATGGAATGGCACAGTTATGATAGGTTACAGAATGACTCATTAATGGTAGGGTATATCATGACACAGTAATGATAGGTTATAGAATGACACATTAATGATAGGGTATATGATAACACAGTAACGATAGGGTATGGAATGGCACAGTAATGATGGGGCATAGATTGACACAGTAATTATAGGTCACAGAAAGACACAGTAATGATAGGGTATAGAATGACACAGTAATGATAGCTTATAGAATGACACAGTAATGATATGGTATGGAATGACACAGTAATGATAGGGTTTAGGATAACACAGTAGTGGTAGGACATAGGATGACACAGTAATGATAGTGTATAGATTAACACATTAATGATAGGGTATGGAAAGGCACAGTAATGATAGGGTATAGAATGACACAGTAATGGTAGGGTATAGGATAAGATAGTAATGACAAGTTTTATAATGACACAGTAATGATAGGGTATAGAATGACACAGTAGTGACAGGTTATAGAATGACACAGTAATGATAGGGTATGGAATAACATAGTAATGATAGGGTATAGGATAACACAGTAATGATAGGTTATAGAACGACACAGTAATGATAGCTTATAGAATGAAACAGTAATGATATGATATGAAATGACTCAGTAATGAGGGGGTTTAGGATAACACAGTAATGATAGCTGATAGAATGACACAGTAATGATAGGGTATAGAATAACACAGTAATGATAGCTTATAGAATGACACAGTAATGATAGGGTATAGAATGACACAGTAATGATATAGTTTGGATAACACAGTAATGATAGGTTATAGAATGACACAGTAATGATAGGGTATGGAATGACACAGTAATGATAGGGTATGGAATGACACAGTAATGACAGGTTATAGAATGACACAGTAATGATAGGGTATAGAATAACACAGTAATGATAACTTATAGAATGACACAGTAATGATATGGTATGGAATGACACAGTAATGATGGGGTTTAGGATAACACAGTAATGATAGGTTTTAGAATGACACAGTAATGATAGGGAATGGAATGACACAGAAATGATAGGGTTTAAGATAACACGTTAATGATAGGTTATAGAATGACACAGTATTGATAGGGTATAGAATGACACAGTAATGATAGGGTATAGAATGAAACAGTAATGATATGGTATGAAATGACACAGTAATGAAGGGATTTAGGATAACACAGTAATGATAGCTTATAGAATGACACAGTAATGATAGGGTATAGAATGACACAGTAATGATATAGTTTAGGATAACACAGTAATGATAGGTTATAGAATGACACAGTAATGATAGTGTATAGGATAACACAGTAATGATAGGTTATAGAATGACACAGTAATGATATGGTATAGAATGACACAGTAATGATAGGTTATAGAATGACACAGTAATGATAAGGTATAGGATAACTCAGTAATGCTATCGTAAATATCAAGAGGATGGTTATGCACAAATCAAAATCTTTGGAATGGACATGTATTTTAGAGTCAAGCCAACACCTGATATCAACACATTTATCCAAATTATGCTATCATTATGTCGTCCTCAGAGGCTACAGCGGCAAGACTTTTCTCGCCCACCAACGCGCCAGGAGAAGGAGTTCTGGAGCTGTTCTATAGAGGACGGTGGGGAAGAGTTCATTACTCTGGGTTCGGAGTTGAAGAGGCAAAAGTTGCCTGCAGAATGTTGGGACACAGCACGTAAGACATATAATGAGATTCTTCCTGTCTGAAACGTCAGTCTATACATCTAATGTCATTTTTACAAATGAAGTATGTTTTTTTTCAGTAAGCACACTATTAAAACACCACGATATAGATTTGACACACATTTAATCCTTTTTTCAATGAACCCGATAAATGTTTTAAAACAGTTTGATACACTCTACTTGATATTTAGCATTGCAGCCAAAGCCAGGTCATCTTCAAACACCGGCAGCGACTCACGAAGTGATATTGTAGAAAAGGTCCATTGTCTTGGCACTGAACTCACTCTGAACGAATGTCTTCATTACCCTTGGGTTAAGGGTGACTCGTCATCAAGAGTTGTCCGAATACAGTGTCCAAACGGTAAGTAAAGATGTTTATTAAGACTCTGATAAAGTTGGTGCAATATTACGTTGTTTGTTTCATTGTTTCTTTCAGCTAATCTTCAAATACGCTTGAACTCGACAACCCCTGGACGGGGACGGGGACGGGTAGAAGTACGCCACAACAATGTCTGGGGAACAGTCTGTAGAGGGTCGTCGTTTTCCTCAGAGGAGGCACAAGTTGTGTGCAAAATGGCAAATCTGCCCTGGTAACTACATCTTTGTACGACTAAATCTTTTAGAGCAAGGGTACTGTTCTTACAAACCGTGAACACTGAAAATTCTCAGTATAGGCTCAAGAACAAAAGCTTTATGTTGCCAATTTGATGAACAGTCTCGTTGTTTCAATTTTTGTCTATTTTAGAGTTAAGATTTGATTTTGCTGTCGTAGCTCCACCTATTTCTTTATTATTTCATTTTTCATTGTTATTTGAAATGTATTCCCCCTTTGTCTTGTTATTTTAATTATTTTCACGCTATATCAAGTATTTTTCGATCCTCGTTCAATGGATGACTTGCTTGACAACGGCAAGCAAGGATCTATGCAACAACGTCACTATAAAAGTGCATTACAGATATTATCCATAAAATAGTATTTAGTTTGTTCAACATTTGTAAGGGTCATGTTGCACACAGATGGAAATACCATTCAGGAGAAACGTCCATTGCAGTGATCCACGGTATTTCCCAGTCAGTACTAAGATGTTGTAAGTGGTCATATCTGAAATATTTAGGAGCATACAAACAATAGTCTGTCACGAAAGGCAGAAAACGGCATAAGTTCATTGCATGGGTGCATAATGGGCGAGCTTTCTACGGCGCCAGGCTAGTGATCCAGCGAGCTGGAAGGTGCAGGGATCGAGCCCACCTGTGGGCGAGCTTTCTACGGCGCCAGGCTAGTGATCCAGCGAGCTGGAAGGTGCAGGGATCGAGCCCACCTGTGACCGGGCGTAAAAGCATTGGAGTCAACTTTGTGTGCAGACTCTTTCAGTGCCTTCACAACCCCCGGCACAATGCACAGTACACAACCCTGTGCACTTAAAAGAACCCACGAATCCGTTCGCAAATGACAAGATGGTTGCCACATGAATACTTGCAAACACCTATAGTCTGTTTGGTGTGAAAACGTACTGATGAATTTCACTTGAAACAAAAATGTAAATCAAATAAAGTGAAATTAAGATTGCATTATTGAATACACTAAACAAAATATTTACGCAGTAGTTGGGAACAGTGATACAAATGCAAGTGCAGTACGTGATGAGCGTTAACTTAGACCAATCCCACTTGTTCTCGGTGTTCCATTTAATGTGCATACCCCCTTGTAATACAAACCAATAATAGCGATTTGAAACTATGATCATTTGTTAAACAACTGTTATCCTAAGTTGAATACAATACTGAGATTTAAATGTTCAGTTGGTAAGGTAAATTATAACGATTGGCAATCTAAATTTCACTTTATTTGATTTACTTTTTGGTTTAAAGTGAAATTCATCGATACGTGTTCACTGCAAACAGACTATAGTTGCGGGCACAGTAACGTACAGTAAACTTGGACAATAACTGTGACTATGTGTCCCAGTCCACCCTGCAGTGAAAGTACCTTGAATGGACGGGAAGTTACATTGATAAGGGAGTTGAGATTGATAATATGATGTGCCGCTGAGATTGACATCCAGCGTTTTGAGCATGCATGTGGGATGGGCTATAGCGCTATATAAGTATCCATATAATATGGGTGTATTAAAACAGGCAGCCAATACTGTAGAACAACCAAATACTTAATTTTTTCTGATAACTCTTTTGAGTCAAACTTGGAAAAGACTCTTGGAAGTTTTGCTGAGACCCTTGACATTTGTAGCAACAAACAAGCAACGCTTGATCAATTGTCAACAGAATCAGTCATCATAGATCTAAGATTACATTTGTTTAGTTACACGTGTGACCACAATGCAATGTGTGTGTTTTTGGGTGTGTTTTTTTTTTTTTTTTTTTGTTGTTGTTGTTGTGTTTTTGTTTGTTTTATTTTTTTATTTTAATATATTTTTATTTTTATTTTTGTAATATATATTTTTTTTTTTTTGGGGGTGGGGAGGGTTGCCTGTGACACGCATGTTTTCATGTCATCATGCACACAGTGAACGAAAGAAAAATGAAGCCCCCTTAATCAGTCCCTGACGACAAATTTGTATCATACATCGCTAATCTAAAAATCACAGTGGACTCATCCCTCAGCATTCTAGGAATAAAGAGTTGTGAAAATGAAAAGGAGGAATTAGTTAATTAGTTGGGTTTGTTATCATCTTTATGATTGTCTGTTTCAGGACAACAGCCTATACGACAACATATTATGGGTTTTGGAGAAGACTTGTTTGGCTGAGTAACGTCGACTGTACGGGGACCGAGACCTCCCTAGACGAGTGTTCCCACTCAGGTTGGGGAACAGCACCAAGCTGTTCTCATAATAAAGATGTCGGCGTGGTTTGTCAGGGAGGTAGGTTAGAACAGCTGTCACGTGAGTAGTTTTATATGGTACTTGTGTCGGTTGTAGCAGATTTGTTGAGAGGGTGGCTATGTTTCTGAGGTGGGTTTGGCACAGTTTTAAATGTGGGGTGACGTGGAAGCGGGTTTGACATTGTTGTGATGTGGGGTGGTGTGATAAGGTTGTGGGCTTGACAATGTGGCGATGTGGGGTGGTTTGACGTGGAGGCGGGTTTGGCAATGTCGTGATGTGGGGTGGGGTTACGTGGAGGCTGGTTTGACAATGTAATGATGTGGTGTGACGTGGAGGCGGGTGTGACAATAGATGTGGAGTGGTGCGACGTGGAGGCGGGTTTGACAATGTATTCACGTGGTGTGGAGTGACGTGGAGCTGGGTTTGACACAGTTGTGGCGTTGGGTGGTGCGACGTGGAGGTGGATTTGACATAGCTGTGATGTGGGGTGGTGTGACGTGGAGGTAGATTTGGCATAGTTGTCGGGTGGGGTGGTATGACGAGGAGGTAGGTTTGGCATAGTTGTGATGTGGGGGTGGTGTGACGTGTAGGTAGATTTGGCATAGTTGTGATGTGGGGTGGTGTGACTTTCAGGAAGGTTTGGCATAGTTGTGGTGTGGGGTGGTGTGACGTGGAGGTAGATTTGGCATAGTCGTGATGGGGGGTGGTGTGACATGGAGGTAGATTTGGCATAGTCGTGATGGGGGTTGGTGTGACGAGGAATCAGATTTGGCATAGTTGTGATGATGGGTTGTATGACGTGGAGGTAGTTTTGGCATAGTTGTGTTGTGGGTGGCATGACGTGGAGGTGGATTTGACATAGTTGTGGTGTGCGGTGCTGTGACGTCGAGGCGGGTTTGACAATGTATTGAGGTGGTGTGACGTGGAGTCGGTTTTGACAATAAAACGATGTAGGGTGGTGTGACGTGGAGTTAGATTTCGCATAGCTGTGTCGTGGGGTGGTGTGACGTGGCGGTAGGTTTGGCATGGTTGTGGTGTGGTGTGGTGTGACGTGGAGGTAGTTTTGGCATAGTTGTGATGTGGGCTGGTGTGACGTTGAGGTAGATTTGGCATAGTTGTCGTGTGGGGTGGTATGACGTGGAGGTAGGTTTGGCATAGTTGCGGTGTGGGGTGGTGTGACGTGGAGGTAGATTTGGTATAGTCGCGATTGGGGGTGGTGTGACGTGGAGGTAGGTTTGGCATAGTTGTGGGGTGGGGTGGTATGACGTGGAGGTAGGTTTGCCAAAGTTGTGGTGTGGGGTGGTATGACGTGGAGCCAGGTTTGGCATAGTTGTGGGGTGGGGTCGTTTAGTTGTGGTGTGGGGTGGTGTGACGTGTAGGTAGTTTTGACATAGTTGTGATGTGAGGTGGTGTGACGTGGAGGTAGATTTGGTATAGTCGCGATTGGGGGTGGTGTGACGTGGAGGTAGGTTTGGCATAGTTGTGGGGTGGTGTGGTGTGACGTGGAGGTAGGCTTGGCATAGTTGTGGTGTGGGGTGGTGTGACGTGTAGGTAGATTTGGCATAGTCGTGATGGGGGATGGTGTGACGTGGAGGTAGATTTGGCATAGTCGTGATGGGGTTTGGTGTGACGTGGAGGTAGATTTGGCATAGTTGTGGTGTGGGGTGGTGTGACGTGTAGGTAGTTTTGGCATAGTTGTGATGTGGGGTGTTGTGACGTGGAGGTAGTTTTGACATAGTTGTGGTGTGGGGTGGTATGACGTTGAGGTAGGTTTGGCATAGTTGTGATGGGGGATGGTGTGACGTGGAGGTAGGTTTGGCATAGTTGTGGGGTGGGTAGTATGACGTGGAAATAGATTTGACATAGTTGTGGTGTGCGGTGGTATGACGTGGAGGCGGGTTTAACAATGTATTGAGGTGGTGTGACGTGGAGTCGGTTTTGACAATGAAATGATGTAGGCCGGTGTGACGTTGAGTTAGATTTCGCATAACTGTGGTTTGGGGTGGTGTGACGTGGAGGTAGGTTTGGCATAGTTGTGGTGTGGTGTGGTGTGGTGTGTTGTGACATGGATGTAGTTTTGCCATAGTTTTGGTGTGGGGTGGTGCGACGTTGAGGTAGGTTTGGCATAGTTGTGGTGTTGGGTGGTATGACGTGGAGGTAGATTTGGCATAGTCGGGATGTGGGGTTGGTGTGACGAGGAATCAGATTTGGCATAGTTGTGATCATGGGTTGTATGACGTGGAGGTAGTTTTGGCATAGTTGTGTTGTGGGTGGCATGACGTGGAGGTGGATTTGACATAGTTGTGGTGTGCGGTGCTGTGACGTCGAGGCGGGTTTGACAATGTATTGAGGTGGTGTGACGTGGAGTCGGTTTTGACAATAAAACGATGTAGGGTGGTGTGACGTGGAGTTAGATTTCGCATAGCTGTGTCGTGGGGTGGTGTGACGTGGAGGTAGGTTTAGCATGGTTGTGGTGTGGTGTGGTGTGACGTGGAGAAGTAGTTTTAGCATAGTTGTGATGTGGGCTGTGGTGTGACGTTGAGGTAGATTTGGCATAGTTGTCGTGTGGGGTGGTATGACGTGGAAGTAGGTTTAGCATAGTTGCGGTGTGGGGTGGTGTGACGTGGAGGTAGGGTTTGGTATAGTCGCTGTGATTAGGGGGTGGTGTGACGTGGAAGTAGGTTTAGCATAGTTGTGGGGTGGGGTGGTATGACGTGGAGGTAGGTTTGCCAAAGTTGTGGTGTGGGGTGGTGTGACGTGGAGAGTAGGTTTAGCATAGTTGTGGGGTGGGGTCGTTTAGTTGTGGTGTGGGGTGGTGTGAGTTGTGTGAGTAGTTTTGACATAGTTGTGATGTGAGGTGGTGTGACGTGGAAGTAGATTTGGTATAGTAGTCGCGATTGGGGTGGTGTGACGTGGAAGTAGGTTTAGCATAGTTGTGGGGTGGGGTGGTGTGACGTGGAAGTGGAAAGCTTAGCATAGTTGTGGTGTGGGGTGGTGTGACGTGGAAGTAGATTTAGCATAGTCGTGATGGGGGATGGTGTGACGTGGAGGTAGATTTAGCATAGTTGTGATAGGGTTTGGTGTGACGTGGAGAGTAGATTTAGCATAGTTGTGGTGTGGTTGTGGTGTGACGTGTAGAGGTAGTTTTAGCATAGTTGTGATGTGGGGTGTTGTGACGTGGAGAGTAGTTTTGACATAGTTGTGGTGTGGGGTGGTATGACGTTGAGAGTAGGTTTAGCATAGTCGTGATGGGGATGGTGTGACGTGGAGAGTAGGTTTAGCATAGTTGTGGTGTAGGGTAGTATGACGTGGGAAATAGATTTGACATAGTTGTGGTGTGCGGTGGTATGACGTGGAGGCTGGTTTAACAATGTATTGAGGTGGTGTGACGTGGAAGAGTCGGTTTTGACAATGAAATGATGTAGGCCAGTGTGACGTTGAGTTAGATTTCGCATAACTGTGGTTTGGGGAGTGGTGTGACGTGGAAGTAGGTTTAGCATAGTTGTGGTGTGGTGTGGTGTGGTGTGACATGGATGTAGTTTTGCCATAGTTTTGGTGTGGGGTGGTGCGACGTTGAGAGTAGGTTTAGCATAGTTGTGGTGTTGGGTGGTATGACGTGGAGAGTAGAATTTAGCATAGTCGGGATGTAGGGTGGTGTGACGTGGAGGTAGTTTTGACATAGTTGTGGTGTGATAGTGGTGTGACGTGGATGGGTAGGATTTAGCATTGTGGTGTGATGGGGGTTGTGTGACGTGGAGGTAGATTTTGACATAGTTGTGATGGAAGTGGTGTGAATTGTGGAGTTAGATTTAGCATAGTTGTGGTGTGGCAAGGTGAATGGTGTGACGTGGAGGTAGGTTTAGCATAGTTGTGGGGTGATGTAGTAGGTAGTATGACGTGGAAGTAGATTTAGCATAGTTGTGGTGTACGGTGGTATGACGTGGAGAAGTAGGTTTGGCAATGTATTGAGGTGGTGTGACGTGGAGTCGGTTTTGACAATGAAATGATGTAGGGTGGTGTGACGTGGAGTTAGATTTCGCATAGCTGTGGTGTGGGGTGGTGTGACGTAGAGGTAGGTTTGGCATAGTTGTGGTGTGGTGTGGTGTGACGTGTAGGTAGTTTTGGCATAGTTGTGATGTGGGATGTTGTGACGTGGAGGTAGTTTTGACATAGTTGTGGTGTGGGGTGGTGTGACGTTGAGGTAGGTTTGGCATAGTCGTGATGGGGGATGGTGTGACGTGGAGGTAGGTTTGGCATAGTTGTGGGGTGGGTAGTATGACGTGGAAATAGATTTGACATAGTTGTGGTGTGCGGTGGTATGACGTGGAGGCGGGTTTAACAATGTATTGAGGTGGTGTGACGTGGAGTCGGTTTTGACAATGAAATGATGTAGGGTGGTGTGACGTTGAGTTAGATTTCGCATAACTGTGGTTTGGGGTGGTGTGACGTGGAGGTAGGTTTGGCATAGTTGTGGTGTGGTGTGGTGTGGTGTGGTGTGGTGTGGTGTGACATGGATGTAGTTTTGCCATAGTTTTGGTTTTGGGTGGTGCGACGTTGAGGTAGGTTTCGGATAGTTGTGGTGTTGGGTGGTATGACGTGGAGGTAGATTTGGCATAGTCGGGATGTGGGGTGTTGTGACGTGGAGGTAGTTTTGACATAGTTGTGGTGTGGGGTGGTGTGACGTGGAGGTAGATTTGGCATTGTCGTGATGGGGGGTTGTGTGACGTGGAGGTAGATTTGACATAGTCGTGATGGGGGGGTGGTGTGAAGTGGAGTTAGATTTGACATAGTCGTGATGGGGGGTGGTGTGAAGTGGAGTTAGATTTGGCATAGTTGTGGTGTGGGGTGGTGTGACGTGGAGGTAGGTATGGCATAGTTGTGGGGTGGGTAGTATGACGTGGAAGTAGATTTGGCATAGTTGTGATGTGGGGTGTTGTGACGTGGAGGTAGTTTTGACATAGTTGTGGTGTGGGGTGGTGTGACGTTGAGGTAGGTTTGGCATAGTCGTGATGAGGGATGGTGTGAC